AATAATAATAATAATAATAATAATATAATACATTAATAGGAGAATGAGCCTAATATCATCTTGACTGTCAAAAAAGACATCTACTATCTTCGATTTCAATGACTATCGTCGATACACAATACTAGAGTCTATCGTCACAACCCTAATAGCAAACAACAACAATCCAATGATCCAATTAAATCCTGCCCTACATTTTTTCATTGTTTTACTTAAATATGTCACAATAAGGAAGAAAAGACAATTGCAACTTCTGTTTCAACCTGAATACACAAGACTACACCATTAAAATTATTTTTTGAAAATCATATCAGGCAAAAAGTGCTCCTTACGTAAACAGCTGGCTGTATTCATTATTTACAGTGTAAAACTCAAGCCTAAAAAACATCTGGCAAAAACAAACGTAATATAAATGTTGTTATGGGTGTTGCGGTTGCTCAGTATCACTAAGAGCTCTTTTGCTAATTTTAGATGTCCATTTGGCTATGCTGGGTTCAACTGCAATGATCGTAAGTCATCCCTCCACAACCAACTGAATCAAGCTACATTTCTCTGTTATGTTCAGTTGGTTGGTTTGAGGAACATTTATGCATCTGTTTGTAATGCAAATTCTCATTACAGCATATCTTTTGGTTGTGATCGTGGTGTCCACTGTGTTGGGTGCATTGCTGGTCATCTTTATTGTGGCCCTGATAGTTGTAAGCTTCAGGTGAGGGTCCACAACACATTTTCCAGGCTTATTTAAACAAACATTCTTCCAACGTTACCTAACATGGTAACACTTTATAATAACTTTCATTAATAAATCATTAACAAACATTATATAATGCTTAACTGATCATTAGTTAATATGTATTCAAATAGCTAAAAACAAGAGATAATGTTCTTATTAATATTTACTAATAAACTAATTAAACATTACCTAATGATTAACAGATAATTATTTATTGTAAATTAAAATGCTTACAAATGTTATTAGACTTTTAATTCATATGATCATGCAGATCTCGAAAATCTACAAATGATTTTAACAGATGTTATGCGATTATTTGTTATAAAAGTGCATGATCGTATGAATTGAAAGTTTAATGACATATGTAAACATTAACTAATGATCAGTTAAGCATTATATAATGTTCATTAATAATTTATTAAGGAAAGTTATTATAAAGTGTTACCTAACATACTAATTTTTTGTCTGTGCATCCTTTTACAATTGTAGGAATCAGAAGGGAAACACCTCATCCGAGGTAGACTTTAGCTCAAGCTATGGAAATAAGGAATTACATAAACCTACAGGAATTCCCAGGATCCCTCGGGCCAACCCTGATGCTAGCTGGAAGTCTAACAATCTGGAGATGACCAGTGGGAGCAATCAGGCACTGGTTATCAGAGATCGCCCAGAAAGCAAAGCGGTAAGTCCAGAACTACAACGCTATTCACTGGGCTTATTACAGGCCACATTAATTTTAGCGATGACCATGGTCAAGTGTAACCTATAAAACCGTTTATAACAGTTTGATCCTAGTGATAAATTTATTTATTAATATATAACGTATTTATCTAATAATTCATTCATTATATGATGTATAATTAATTATTATAATTAATATATAAAATATAATTATACAATCATTCATTCATTAATAAAACATCTGCAAGTATTTAATAACATTATTTGTGTTTTTGTAGCGCTACACTGATTTCGATGAGGACATGAGCTATAGGGGTCACGTTCCCCCAGCGTACTCGGGCTACAGTGGGAGAGGAGTGGACAATGGTGGTGTCCACAACCCATACTTTCGACAAGATGATGACAGAATGCGCAGATATTGAGTGTTTAGAAAAGCGCTATATAAATGTAATGAATTAAAATTATTATTAACATCAATTAACCAGGACAGTAGGATGCAGTTGGATGATTTTTCTTAATCTTCATGTGGAATTAATTAAATTTTTTATTTCTTTGTTGACCAAAATTCGAAGGTTGTAATAAAAAACAGTTATTGCTGTTTTATATACATCTTACCATAGGAACAGAGTTCAAATTTACTTGATATTTACATTCAGTGGCATTACCAGCTAATAAAATTCAGCTCATGGGCTTTCCTCTTGATCTAAGGGTGTTTTCACACCTGTAGATCGATTGCTTTGTTCCAAAACAGGGATTAAAATGATTACAATGTTGCTTTTTATTCTTGGTGCGGTTCGCTTTCACACGGCAAAGTTTCTAAACGGACCAAATTTGTTAATACAAGTCACGCGCGAGTAAACTGTTGTCTCATTGGTCAAAGTTCCACGGTTTATTTTCCGGGATTCCACTGAGCTGTCACGGCTGTCATCCGTCAGGATGCAACGACAACAGCTTTGCGGGCTTATTGTTGGGTTTTTTGTAGCTGTCGTTATAATAATTTATAATTTTGAGCAGGAGTCCAGGATTGGACCTACTACGAAGAAGAGCAATAAGACGGCCTTATAAAATAAAAAAGTGTGCTTTAATTTTTGAATGGCAAAGACGTGCTCACCCACAGACATTCACAGGTTCATTTTGAGGTATTAGCAAAACAGCAAAGCTAATGCTTTTCACGGAACTTACGTAATTACACATCATCAATTGTGATATAGCCTGGTTCGTTGGTCCGTTGGATCGGATTGCTTTCTCACTACAACCGAACTGCTCCAGAGTTCGTTTTCAATCGAGCCGAGACCACCTCGTTCAGGCGATCTCGGACCGATTGTTTTGGCGCGGATCCGGGCGCAATTGCCATGTTCACATATGCCCAAACGAACCGAGCTAAGGGGAAAACGCGCCAGGTTCCCAAACAACAGGCCAGGTGTGAAAGCACCCTGAGCCTCAACTTAAAAAGTATTGGAACAAAATGTCATTCCTGAACTTTTGAATGGAAGCTATGTTGCAGGGGCCTTAACCTAAAATCTGTTTTTTTTTTTGTATTGAAATAATCAATAAATAATTAGATTTTTGATTTTCAAAGGTATTTGTATCTTCTTTTCCCAACCAATTTCTTTGTTTTCTGTTAGTTTATGACATGAAACTAATTATATATTCTCATCAAACTTTGCTCTCATTTTCACAAAGTCCACCAATATGTACATTTATAGAAAGCTTAGGATCTCTTACTTTAGACAAAAACAAAAATAAATAAATAAATAAATATGAACATTACATGCTTAAATAGCTTTTGTTTGTTTGCAATATAAGCTATGCAGCCCTCTACGAACACCTTGGCAATTGAATCGCCATTGGCTAGTAAATTTTTTAGTTTACTCGCCACTGATATATATATATATATATATATATTAGGGCTTGGCAAGTTAACACGTTATTATCATGTTAACGCATTAATTGATTAATGCCGACAGTTATTTTATCGCACGTTAACACAGTTTTTTATTATTATAAAATTACGTTGCTCACTGGCTCGAGATACCCCCTGACAATGTGAAGCGCTTTGAGTGCATAGAAAAATGCTATATAAATGTAATGAATTATTATTATTATTATAAATATTTGGAATTATTTTAATAAACACTTACGACTGACATTTGTTTTTAGGTTCTCTAATTCCATTTTGAGGGCTTAATTTTCTGCCTTTAATTGTGCTATGATGTCTGGCAAAGGAGGATCAGGAGAAGTTAAGGCAGGTGAAGGTGGAGCTGAGGGTGGTGCAGGTGGACAGTTAGGAAGCGGTGGTGCAGAAGATGGTGGGGCAGGTGAAGGTGGAGCTGAGGGAGGTGCAGGTTTAGGAAGCGGTGGTGCAGAAGATGGTGAGGCAGGTGAAGGTGGAGCTGAGGGTGGTGCAGGTGGACAGTTAGGAAGCGGTGGTGCAGAAGATGGTGAGGTAGGTGAAGGTGGAGCAACTGAAGTTGTAGCAGAAGGGAATCGAGGTCCATGGTGTAATTTTATTTTATCCAAAAGCTCCCTGTCCAAATTTCCATCACTAGTTTGCCACTTTATAAAACATGACGACAAATATTAGGACATAAGACAAAACATTAAAAACAAAGCTGAAAAAATAAAATGACGATATCACACTCTGAATTTATCAGCCTCCATCCCCAAGAACTAGATGGGATCAGCTGCTCTTCACAACCAAGAACAAGAACAAGAACCTCTACAGAATAAGAACTTCTACAGATATGAATTATGGGACATCACGCCTTGGGCCTCTTTTCCAAATGAACAGGGGCAGAGTACGTACTACAGTTCAGGCAATTTCAAGCCGTCTAATTATTCACCTTTATATAAGGAATTACAGACTGAACCAGACAGCATACAAGGAATCAGACCACAACAGCTTCAGCCATATTTGTTGAATGATGAGATTTCTTTAGCAGAAAATGAAGATCAGCTTACCCAAAACAGTAAGCTCAGAAATAACAGCAGAGTGGATAATAGCTGATGGCATTAAAACAGGTAAACAGATGTAGACTTGTATAAAAGCTTTATGTACCATAGGTAAAAACAGGCAGAGCAACATAACTCTGACAGACTGCTTGTACTTGGCTGTGAAAAATGACCAATACTGTCAATATCTAGGGAAAATTGTAGATTATTAGGTACTCTTAACTTTGGATGATTCATTTTAAGTATTAAATTTTTTTTTATTTAGTCATTCATTTGCAGAGTTATAAGTAATAATGATTTAGTTTTATTTGATCTTTAAGCAACAACTTTATAGTGGGCAGCCAATTTTTTTACATTTGCAATGCAGATGCTAGTTTTGGGTCTCAGAAAAAAATAAAAAAATAAATCTTGTAACATTTTTGGGGCTAGATGGTCCATCATTACTGGTCTCCTCTTCAACAAACTTAGGGTTTGGCCTGCATTTTCTTTTACTCAGAAGTTTTGGACTGGACTGATGTTGTGTCCTCATTAGTTTTTCTAGGGTGGACTGTCTCTCTGTGGGTAAAAAAGGGGAATACAAATAGTAGAAGCTAAAACAAAAAATTCAACTAAGGCTATGACAATGACAACAACATAGGCTGACCATATGTTTTAAACCCTTAGTGTAGTGCAGTCATGCACATGTAAGTGCTTATGCACCCACAATACGTACTGATGTCCTGATGGGGGACAGTGTTCAAAATATTAGCACACATACTAACAGGGATTGAATATCCTGCAAGTTTACATTGGCATAAATTATATATATTTTTACTTTACTTAAGTATTATTGTATTAGTTCTAGACCACAAAATCTAAAGGCAAATATTGTATTTTTTTTCTCTACTACATGTGTCTGACAGCTAAAAGCTTACTTTTTAGAGATAGTATTCTCACATAAACATTTAAAGATCTTAGGATGATGCACTGCAGTGTAATAATCTTCTTGTACTTAGCTCTTAAACATGACAATGAGAACATAAAAATGCAATGCACACAATCATGCAGTATTAATAGTAATGTTAAAACAACAACCAAAAAACATAACAGTAATACACGGTGAATATCTACTCAATTATCTGATGGGAAGTGTAGTGTAGAGATGACTGAGCTGCTGATTGTGACAGAAATTACCTTTTTAATAACAATATAGCATTAAAAATATATTTTTATAATCGCTAACCCCACTCCTATCTCTAAACCTAACCATAACTATATTTAAAAAATAAGTACAGTATAAAGAAAAACATGACAGACAGATGAGTGCAATCACAATCATTTATTTATTGCAAAAATATCAAAAGCAGTGCCAAAAGTAGTCCAAATGAGAATGCGTTGCAGTCCTCTCTGGTGGAATACAGTAGTTTTGTGTGAGGTACAGAGCATAATTTTAGTTGTTAATCTCTGAAAATATTATCCAGATTATTATCCCGATCCACTCCACTTGTCTGTGTGTGCAAATCGAAAGAATCAGCTTTTCACTTCAGAGCTTGTGGAGTGTAAATTTCAACTTACAAATACAAATATTAATGACAAGTTCTCACATTCAAATCAACAAGCTCTCGAGTTTTGCTATTCTTTTACCTTCATACTTAAAATGCATAAAAATAACTTTAAAAAAAAGGGGGTGTGAAGGGGGGGAGGTATATAAAATAAAATACTAGTACTAGTAATTATCCAATTATGCAATAACTGCATTATTACACCTTACTAGACATACTCTATCACACCTCACAGAGAATATGTCCAGAGTGTTGAAATCAATAATCAGTTATCACCTTCTAGATAATAAAAAAGGGTTTCTATATCTGTAAGAATCTCTTCGGTTTACCAGCAATTTCATATCTGATCTTCTCCATATGTAGCACACTGCTAAACTCTATTAGCCACGTCTTAAATTTGGGTACAAACTATTTGTTCCACATCTTCAAAATAGTCTTCTTTGCTATTGTGATCCCATACTGAACTGCCTGAGTTTGATTTGGACTATAGGTCTCCAAATATGGAGCCCAGCCTAATACAGAAACAAGGAGGTCATGGGGAAAATCAGTCTTAAATTCCCTTGAATAAAAACAAAACACTTCACACCAGAACTTACACATTTTTGGACAGAACCAAAATAAATGACCCAAGGTTCCCTCGTTGGACTTACATTTAATACATAAAGGTGACACAGAGGGGTATATAGAATGAACCCTGGTACGAGAATAATTCTATCTGTGCACAACTTTATATTGAATGAGCTGAAAGTTAGAGCTGCTGGAACACAATCTAATGCCTTGAAGAGCCTCAGTCCAAGTGTCTTCTGAAATATCTATATCTAGGTCTTTCTCCCAGGACATCTTCAAAAGTTGTGTAGGAGGAACCCTGGAGTCATTAAAACATTCAACAAATCTAGAAACAAGACCCTTCAAATTGAGTTCAGATGTCATACAAAGATAAAGATGTTTAGGGGATTTGTAAGTTTCAAAATTAGGGATATTACTTTTAACATAATTCTGCACCTGAAGATATCTGAAGAAATGAGAAGAGGGTAATCCAAGAAATCACTCTTTTCTAAACCTCTTGTCACTCTGAGGAAAACAGCAATTTTTTCCTAGAATGAGTTTGCAAATGATGTTTCAGGACATTTTGATATGTGAAACTCTTCTCACACTGAAGACACTTGTAAGGTCTCTCTCCAGTGTGGACTCTCATGTGAATCTTTAGGTTTCCTTTAACCCTGAAACTCTTTCCACACTGAGGGCAGGTGAAAGGTTTCTCTCCAGTGTGAACTCTCAAGTGATTCTCAAGGTTTGCATTGTGTTTTAAACTCTTTCCACAGTGATGGCACATGAAAGGCTTTTCTCCTATATGAATTTTAACATGATTCTTAAGGTGATTTGTGTCTGAGAAACTCCTTTTGCACTGATGACATGTAAAACTCGTCTCTCTTGAATGAATCCTCATGTGATTATTAATGCTTTCTTTACATCTGACATTCTTTCCACATTGATCACATGTGAATAAATTCTCTCCAGTGTGAATTCTCATGTGAGTCTTAAGGTGTGCTTTACGTCTGTAACTCTTTCCACACAGTGTGCAGGTAAAAGGCTTCTCTCCAGTGTGAATAATCATGTGGACATTAAGGAGTGTTTTCTGTTTAAAACTCTTTCCACACTGAAGACATATGAATGGTTTCTCTTCACTGTGAGTTTTCATGTGAGTTTTAAGACTTCCATTTTGTATAAAACTCTTCCCACACAACTCACAGGTGTAAGGTTTCTCTCCAGTGTGAACTCTCATGTGGGCATTAAGGTTGCTTTTTCGTGTAAAACTCTTTCCACACTGAGGGCATATTAACTGATTCTTTTCAATGTGAATTTTCATGTGGACTTCAAGGCTTTCTTTTTGTTTGAAAATCTGTCCACACTGTTTGCAGGTGTAAGGTCTCGCTCCAGTGTGAATTCTCATGTTGGAATTAAGGTTGGCAGTTTTTTTAGCTTTTTTTGGTGAGCAAGTCTTTTCAGTCTGTGAGCAACTAATTGGTTTTTCTTCAGTTTTGAAATCAAGATGTTTCTCATTTTGATCTTTCTCTTCTGTTTGATTCGGTTCTTGACTTTCCTCTTTCACCGGCATCAGGTCTGAGTTGAAAAGAGACAAATACAAGTTTAATGGCACAAAGCTACAGACATCCAAACATTTAAACTAGTGCTGTCAATCAGTTAAAAAAAACTAATTGCACATTTTCAGTAACATATTATATTAATATGCAATTAATTATATTATCATACATAAAGATGAAACATATCCTTCAATGGCATCTTATTACCAAGTATCCTATTATTAATGAAGGTAAGTAAGGTAAGTATTTTCCATCCACCTATTTTTATGCACATTTTGGGATAATGCATAAAAAATGCTGGATGAAAACGTCAAGATGCACATAAATTCTAAAAATGCATATAAAAAAACATCTAGGTTACGTATGTAACCCTCGTTCCCTGAAGGACGGAACGGAGATGTTACGTCAGAACAGAGTGCC